GGGAAGGAAGGAAGGAAGGAAGGAAGGAAGGAAGGAAGGAAGGAAGGAAGGAAAGAAGGAAGGAAGGAAGGAAAAAAAACTCACTTTGTTTTCATCAAAGACATTAAAAACAAACGTTGCAAACTTGGTTGGGTCACCAAACGGGAAAAATTGCTTGTAGATTTTCTGAAATCCGGCTGCGTCCAACTGTCCACTTGGGCAGTCCTTAATAAAGCCTTTGTACCTGCAACCAGAAACATGAATGGACCAATGTTTCTACTATGGGACCGAGCTGGTTACTTTGCAACTCAGGGTCCAGAAAAGCAAGAATGCCTTGAGCCCCCCTCTCATCCCATGTCCGAACAACTAACATTTCCCTAATTCAGCAAAGTCAGTTGAAAGTAGGACCTTCAGCAGATGATGAATTGAACTGACTGCGCACAGTCCTCCATTTATAGCAATTTACTTAGCGACCGTTTGACATTACAACGGCACCGAAAGAAAGTCTTTCCTCTTTGGTGTGTATCTGTACAAAGGTTCAATAATTCTCCTTAGAATCTGAAATAACATGGAAGACTCACCATTGCTGGACCTCTTTCTCCGTGACTGAAAAAGAGAAAAAGAGAGAGGGGGAGAAAAAGAAGAAGTATTTATGGATGACTTCGTACATTCATGCACTTCAGTTAAGTTTTCAAAAGCCTCAACTCTTAACTTATTCACACATTTAGGGAGAGACGTAATTGCTCTCCGCTTGTTCACTCAATTAGCAAAGATCGTTTGCGAAGAGACGAATCTTCCATCCTTTGTGCCGTCAATTACTAATAAACTTAAAAGAGGGAATATTAAATATTTCTGAGCACAAAGGATATAAATTGGGACTCTGGCTGTACAATGCTTTGGGGGGGATTTTAATTCATGTAAAATAGTGTAAGTCAAGATGGATTTATGATTTGGATCAGGGCTGTTCTCATGTACAGGTAGTCCTCGATTTACGAGCATAATTGGCACTGGAATTTTGGTCATCTAAGCGAGTCGGGATCATGTGACCAGACTTTCAAAAGGTGTCACACTGCCCTGCCCCCCCCACCCAGTCTTGCTGTCAATCAGATCTCCAAAGCAACCGCAGGGTGTTCCAGACGTCTGAATCGATCTGGGCTGATTTTGCAAATGGCTCTTTGATACGGATCTTTCGAGAACACGAATTGAATTAAAGGAATCGATTCCCAAGCCGCTAGAAGAAAGAAAATGGAGGCCTTTTAAAAAGAGAGAGAGAGAGAGACAGAAAGAGACTTTGCAGGGTTCTGCTTCTATTTTAGAGAGTTCACAACATTTTAAAAGCTTTCACAACTTGCAGTCGTATTCTAAGCCAGCTTTGCCCGGCATTACAAACTAACTGTGTTCAAACCGATTTTTTAAATCCAAGGTCAGCAAGTCGAGCTCTGAAAAACTGTGCAAACTTAGTATTTTGGGGAGAGAGTATGGACTGGGAAGGGCTGCAGATAGTCCTTGATTTACAAGGAGAATTGGGAGAAGAATTTCCATTGCTAAGCAACACCGTTGTTAAATGAGTTGCGTTCAATTTTATGACCTTTTTTTTTGCTACAGTTAAGCAAATCACTTCAGTTGTTCAATGACGCATGTGGTTGTTAAGCAAATGGACTTTTCATGTTGGAAGCCAGTTGAGAAGGTCGCAAATGGTGATAAACTCGAACCCGGCACCCTGCAACCAGGTTGCCAAGCGCCCAAATTTTGATCACGTGACTGTAGGGATGTTGCAACAGTCACAAATGCAAGGGCCGGTTGTGATCCACTTTTTTCAGTGCCGTTCAGTGCCGAACGGTCACTAAACAAATTGTGGTAAGTCGACAACTATATCTGCATTGAAAAGATATATATTATGTTGTAGCTTGGACTGCTTAGCCCAGTCTCAATCTTATTCCACTTCAGTGAAATGAGTTGATTGTTGATTTTGAAACTTAAATAAGTTTATCAAAATGGGACTTTGTGCTTGGAAAAAAATCTGGCTCCTTCCCGCAGCTGAGGCAGCAGCCCCAAAACACCACATGGCGATGGTTGGTGTGCCAAGATTTTGCTGCAAAGCTCAAAAAGGAATAGCTAATTATTGATGCAGGACTTCTGCAAGATGCCAAATGTACATGCTTTTTCTGAATTTCAAAAAAAACTGCGGCACACTAAACAGTAATTCTCTCTCTCGGTCTGTCTCCGTCTGTCTGTCTGTCTGTCTCTCCCCTAAATCAAGGGGCAATATTTTAAGCTTTCCAGTCAAACATTACCAGCCTGGGAACAAAATATTTAGCCATTGATCCACTCTGGCACAAACACCTCTGAGGCAACTGCATTTGTGCTTTTCTCAAAAAAATCAAAGCAAAGTTTGCGAGCAAATGAGGCCAGTTGCAAATGTATAATTCAGGGGGCTAATGAACACTGCAGCCCTATCATTTCCAGATGCATTTTCAATTATATTCAGTTTTCCCCTCGGCTTTGCTCTAATGGTTTAAGGCTTAAAACTTCCAACTGTTCCGGTTAAACATTAAAAAGGCCAACGGTGAGAAACGAGAAACAAATCACCCATTCCAGCCGCAGATTTTTAACTCCTGTGAGGTCTTGGCGCTTCCTAAGAGGGAACAAAAAAACTCTACACACAGGTAGTCCTTGACTTATGTTGACAATTAAGACCAGCTTATGTTCTGCCATGATACCTTGAACACCATCAAATGTCCACATCTGCCTATCCCAGGTCCTCAGGGAGGACTAGATAGATGGACAAAAATGCCCCAAACATGCTTTTTCAAAGAGCAACTGGACTTTCTTGTTTTTTCTTTGAAGACGTTTCGCTTCCTACCCAAGAAGCTTCTTCTGCTTCTTCAGAATGGAAGGATTTATACTCCTTGCAGACGGCTGGTCATTTGCCTTCTTTCAGAGAGCCATTGAAGCCACTTGGAGGTTTATCTGTGTCCTCAATGTAAATCCTTCCATTCCCCCCCATCAGAGCTGAAGAAGAACCTCAAATAAATGCTAGAGGTCCCTTGGGAGCAGCCAAGGAGAAAGAGATGTGACATAACACAGTAATAGCAATCTCCTCCACCACTTCCAACGGTAAAAGGAATGAGAGAAAAACTGAAAGACTGCAGTGGAAATGGTGTCATAAACAGCCAAAATGCAACTTCATCTCTTGTCAGTAAAAAGTCCTTCCACCTTGCTGAATCCTGGAAAAACTGTTCAAAAGAAGTAAGAAACACTCTGTCCCATGCCCTGGAGGAATCAAATGGTCTAAATTGACAAGAATTCAGCGGCTGGAATTCTTATAACCCTCCCACGTTCATCTCCCTAAATCTATTTACAGAAGACTCCGACTATCTCATTTGAAATAATTAATTTTGCCAACACGAGCTGTTCTCGAGCACCTTGAGGCTTAAGGTCAAAAATTAAAAGAGGGAGGGAACAAAGATCTTTTGAGGATTCGCAAGACAGATTGCAACAAATCTGTTTTTCTTCTGCTTCTCCCAGCATGCAGAAGTATGCTGAATGTACACAAACCCCAGCAAGTCAAGGCTGGTTAACTTCAGTGTGGTTTGCTTTTTGCTAGTGAGTGTGTATCTGAAAACCAGCCAATTGATTTAGCTTATGATTTTGTGAATCAAGAGATTCCCCCAAATAGTTTCACTGATAATCAGCTTATTGCTGAAAATTAATTTTAGCATGTCCAACTAGTTAACAGAAGAAAAGGTACATATGTATCCAACAGTACTAAACATGTGTAACTTGCTGAGTAAACAGAGAATAAGTTTGTGCTACTGGCTCAGCTGACAAGGTTTTTTGGCTGGCAAAAACTTGCATGAGTCAGAGATGAGAAACTTAAGAGTTTAAGTTTCTAGCTCTCTCGGAAAAACAATTTCTCTCCCTCACCATCCTGTAAAGAGTTGGTTCCTAAATCTGCAACTTCTCTCCCCAGTCAATCCTTTATAGTTGGCACTTGTCTTGCCAAAGGCTCTCGGGCAAATTGCTAATTGCAATTAAGATGTCTTCAGAGGCAATTAAATGTATTTAATGGAGGTAGTTAATGATAGCTTTCAGAGAACGGAATTGACAGAAGAGGATCAGCCCAAATGAACAGAAGACGTCCAAAAGGTGGTGAAACAGACCCTCTCGGATCAGGATGGGGCATCTGATCTTCCAAAATGGTGAAGAAAACTTAGGAGCCCCAAATAGGAGGACCAAAAGATACTGAAAGTTTTAGATCTACAGACTCACTGGTTGTCCACCCAACAAATTCAATCAATCAATTGAAAGGATCGACAACTTTCTGATCTCTGGTGGAAAAAGAGCCTGGAAAGGTCCCACACTTTGGCATCCATCCGCTTCCGTTAAAGTTTATTTATTTAAATTTATTTATTTATTTAAATTTATATCCCGCCCTTCTCCTTGCGGACTCAGGGCGGCTAACAATCAGATAAAAATACAAAAATAACACTACAAGTTTAAAAATTAGTTAAAAGGGAAATATTTGAATTTGGTCAAATTAAAATATAATTAAAACCCCTTCTAAAAGTTTCCCCAGATGTTCTCCAGATGTTTCCAAAAAAACCCTTCTTTTCCAGCTCTACCCCACAATGGTTTAAATCTTGGACTTTTTATATGTCAGACAGTTTCATTATCAATCTTGTTCTCCACCCAAACTTAATTTTATGCTCAAGAAACTCATCTCCAGATTGGACAGGCCTGGAAGAGGATGTGCTGAGGCTACCCAGATAAAATAGAACGAGTTAGGCAATTTTTAAAGTCTAACTGTACATAAGGGACAATTATTTTGCGGAACACACTTAGCTGCGGAGAGATGGGCTAACCCAACACATGGATTCCCACGAGACGCCAAGCCAGAAACACTGTCCCAGCATTGCTTGCTGTGTGAATGAACCCGTGAACAGATTCGTTGTGTGAACACGCCCAGAGGTGAGGCCAAGTCAATCCATAGGTAGCGAACTGTGATCAGCACAGCAAGGGAAGATTTCTTAGAAAATTGAAAGGCAGAGTTTACGGATTGTGAGACTTGACAGCCACAACCATCATTTGGCACAATCTCCGAATTCTGAATTATGCAGCTGCTTTGGCACATGGAACATTGTCCCAGAAGTTATAAAAATAGCAAGGAGATTGAATAAAAGCTATAATTTATCGCTAATATCTTCTTGCAGAACACAATCAGGAAATAAACTTGGAGTGGCTACAAGAAAAGCTCTCTTTTTCCTCAACCCAGGGCTAGACGGATGACCTGGCCCCGGGGGGGGGGGCATTGTAACTTTGAACGGTCACTAAACGAACGGTTGTAAGTTGGGGACTATCTGTACTGTAGATGCTTGAAAACAATCAGTTGCACACACTGATGGAGGGGGAGGGTCCTTTTCTGTCATGGTCTGTGGGAAAGACCTCGGGTGAAGGGGCAAGGAGACGTTGCCAGTGAACGGTTAGATAAGAGATGTACAGAATAACAGACTCGGAAGGGACCTTGGAGGTCTTCTAGTCCAACCCCCTATCATCAGAGCCTATAGCCGAGTCTCAGCAGATGAGACTTTGGGAGACGGTTCTGC